TTATAAAATTCCATCATCTTGCCACTATACTTCAGAACTGATAACTGACATAGAGCTGTTTATATTATGTTTGGAAAGAAGTCACAACTAGTTAACTGTAAATAGTTCCCAAATAACTTGAACAGTGCATCAGATATGTTACATAACCAAATATATTAGAATTTCAAAAGCTTATCTACAAATAGTCCATCAGAAGTGAAAAGTCAAATGACAATGAGTAATGATGCCGTTCAAAATTCAGTAAAGGCACTATCTAGAGAAAAGGAGAACAAGTATCCACCAAACCTCCCTCCAACCCCTAGAGAGATTGAGACAGAGAGAGAGGGTAAGTATCCCATACCTCATAACCACATTTGCATGGCTTCAATTGCTGATCTGTCAAATCCATCTCCTCCGCGCAAAGAGGGCAAGTCTTTTCTCCCTGGTCACTCATGATTACCTTAAAAACATTTCAAAAAAGTGTTAGTAGGCAAATGAAATGCACAAAACTCAATGCAACTATATAGCAACGGCGTACCTTAGTGGGTATGTGCTCACAAATAAGAAGTAAAATACACATCAGAAATTGCAAACAAATTCAATTGAATAAATGCAAGAAAAGATTAAACAGAATATATGTTAAATTTGACAACGAGGAAGCTAACAGAGAAGGACTCGACACCATACACAATGCAAAATGAAGCAAACATTGAATGTAGCAGCTCAAAGTCACCTATATTTCATTTAACAGCAAGATTATTTGCATCATGGTAAACGATTCACTCAATCGTTCATTTAACTGCATTCACATTACGGAAACAGCCATATACGAGTAGCCATTACTTCAAACAAAATCAGAAAACAGGAAAAACCCAGAAAAATCCCAATCACAGTAAACCAGACCAGCAAAATTGAGCTCGCAACAGTCTGCCATATCCCCAAACTGAAACCCTACAACCAGATTAGTCCATCCAGCGCCATTTTAACATTAACAAACTCAAAATTCAAATCGATCCTGAAACTCAAATCAGATCAAAATCTACGGCAAAGCAAATCAAAATCGAGCACCAATTACAACAACAAAAAACATAATTCGAAAAAAAATTAATAAAAAAGGGATAATAATCATCAAAATTAAACTAAAATACACAATTTAAAACCTAATCGGAATCGTTGACATGCAACAGAAGGAACCAAAGGCAAGGATGCAAATGGAGGTCAATCAGATGGCCTCAGCCACCGATGAAATAACCAAACAAACTCATTTCAAACCTAATCCATTTTACATAAAATGATTAAAACAATTAGGGATCTGGGAGATTGGACGGAATGATGATCGGAGGGAGGTTAGGGTTAGAGAAGAGAGAGAAAGAGCGAGCAGAGAGAGGAGACTTACAGTTGGGAATCGAGAAGAAGAGGACGAATCTGTGAGGATGAGATTGTGGTGTGAGGATCGCAACGCAGCGAGAGAGAGAGAATACGAGGGGGTGCTTTTTAAGAGAGAGTGAGGAAGAAGGGCTTGTTTGGATGATGGGTTATTTCCGCATAATGCCCTTAGATTTCGATTTAACTACCAACATTGACCTTTCCTTTGTGGCTAGCCAACGAAGAGACCAAATTTTAAAATTATATTTTGTATGTGATTGTTGATGGTTAGGTTATTATTTAAGTGTTGATTAACGTGCTTATTTCTTATTATTGATATATTATTTAATTTGTATTTTCTATTTGTATTAATTAACGTACTTATTTCTTTTATTCATCTTTTTATTTTGTTTTTTCGATTTTTACTTTTTATTTTTTTTATAAGTGATGTGGTGTTTGCCATTTTGCGATGTTGTATTTGGTTTTTATCCACCCAATAAGATTCCTTTTTTTTCTTTTAAAAAAACGTCGATGGCTTATCTACATTTTTTAGAAATGTATAGTGTAATGGTCCTACTAGAGATATATATAGCCCTTGACCTAACCCCAAGGCCTTAGCCTTATAAAGAGAGAATCCAATATGCGAAAAATTTAAAAATAAGGGTCTTTTGCTTTACTCTTCTTGTCAACCTTTTTTTTCTTTTTTTTTTCCTATTTTGCCCTAATTTTTTATCCACATTAATGACAAAAAAGAGGGTAAAATAGTAATTTTATACCTTTTGATAAAATGACAATCATATCCATATTTTTCCTATTTTACCTCTTTTTTTTTTAAGAAAATGACAATTATACTTATTTTTTCAATTTTACCATTACTTTTGATACACAATATTTACATAAAGATGACAAAATAAGAAAAAAAAAAGAGGAAAATTTTGACAAGAAGGCTTTTCTTAATAATAGTATAAAAAAATACGCTTATTAAAAGAAATTATTCACACACATAAAATATATGCTCTGTTAGTTTTAAACTAATATAAAACGAATGGTCGAAAATGCCAGCAAATGAGTCGGTCAGCAAAAGTTGTCAATGAATTAGGGATGGATGAGCAGTCACACCAAAGCTTCCTTTACAAAAAAACATGGCATTAATTGCCATACCAACACATGTTCTGACTTTTTTGTTGTTCTCCCAGGATCCTAAATTTGTGGATTCCTTCTCCAAACTATGAAACACAAATGGTTGTGTTGCTTTAATGTATCTTTGAATCTCCATTCATTTCATCTTCATCCTAGGATAACTCTAGTTTTTTTGTTTTTTAATATTTCTGCATTTTCTTGTTTAAAAATAATAATATGTATATATATATATATATGTATATATATATATATGTATATATATATAAAAAATATTTCTGCATTGTGGATGCCAGAACATGGATCAACAAAAGTAAAACCAACCCTATACCACGTTACACGAGCTAAAGAACGAGAATATAGCATGATTCACACATTTTTCCATATATAAAAACTGTTTCTAAATGGGTTAAAAGTGTATTTTTTTTATAATTAAAAGCGTTTTTCTACTAAATTTGGTAAAAAAATTTAAAAGTTCTTATGGGTCACAAAAACACTTTTTAAAGAAGCATTTGTAAAGGAACGCTTAAATTTTTTAGTAAAATTTTTAACTTGTCTATGACGCAAAAACTTCTTGCATAAGCGTTTATGAAGAAACAATCTCAAACAAAACCTAAAACTGGCACGTGCGTAGAGCTACCCAATAAATTATGCAAGTGTTTGCCATGCCATTAAGCTGCACTGTTGGTGATGATGCATTTCATCAACAAAACCTGAGGGAAACTAAAATAGAGGGAATTATTTGGGAGGGAGCATGAGTGAAGAAGCATGGAGCAAGAATGGTGGAAGGGATGCAAAAAAAATGTGTCGAAAATGAAAACAAAGCTTGAACACATTGCTTTGAACTTACATAAGTAAAGCGGTAACTTAAAGAGGAACTGGATCCTCTCCAAGGCAAACCTTCGAGATCTTGCTGAGCGACAAACACGGGCCGTTGAATTTCGATCCAACGGCTACAATTATTATAACTTTAAGATGGGTCCCCTGTTTGTAGCCCTTGGATCGAAATCCAACGGCGAGTGTTTGTCGCTCAGCAGGATCCCAAGGGTTTGCCTCGAAGAGGATCAAGTTCCATTAAAAAGCTACAAGTTGAAAGTTACATTGTCAAAAAAAATTGAATTTGAATTTGAGATTCAAAGTTCTGCTGCTGTGAAAAGCCATGGAGCCGGACTCATGATCATCGTGATCCAACCTCCGTGCAATGCCCGAATCCACCTGCTCTAACTCTGTCGAAATGTATGTTTCAAAATTCAGAGTCCTTATACGTACATTGTGCAAAATCGTCGGTTTGGTCAAACTTTTCCCTTCATATATAACCGAATGACCCAGCTAACAGGCTTATCAATAAGTTAGCCTAACAACAGACATATTTGACGAAAATCTCAAGTAGCAGGTCGCACTCAAGTATGCAAGTTCATGTAATGTCAGTTCCATTTGATAAATACAACTGATAATCTTTCTTACCAATCCTGTAGTAAAAACATAAATGCAGGAAAATGGGCATACAACGACACACGATCGACTAAGCGGTCAAAGATGACGAAGCAAACTATGCCTTTGGTGAACAATAAAGCATTCCAGTAAAGTGTGAAACCAGCAGATGCTTTGAGAAATTGTAAGGTATATAAAGCAATAGAAATCATCCTTGGAACGGTAAACATCTTGAATATTATGGTATTGGCCGCCTTAATCTAAGCACAAAACCATAGTACAGAGAAGAGTAGAATGAGGGAAGTTACGGAGGGAAAAGTTACACAAAGAAAAGGTGAGGTGTGAAAGAGAAAGAGTAGGATGATAAAACCAAGAAAACAAGCTGCGTTTGTCTACTGTAACGTTTAAACAATAACTACAGTAATTACCAGGTGCAAGCTGTGTTTGCTTATTCAAAGGGAACAACTATAGGCTAGTTACTACCTCACGCTGATGGCCTCTACTCATGTTTATCACTCGAGTCGGAGAATCATTCTAAGAATTAGTTACGGTTAGTAGATATAAGCTTGACTCGTCTTCATCACTAATCCAATTTCAGTAATGTGAAATATATAACAAACCAACAAAAATCATCCCAAGATTGTCTTACAGATAACAGGAGAATAAAGAAGACTAAATTTTTTGAATATAACAGTCACTTCACCAGAAACTGGCAGCTGACCAGACCACCCAAGTACAACAGCCGTATCTAATGAGCAGAAGATAACACCTTCATGGTTGTCAAAGATTTCAACCATTCAAAGTTCATTCTCACAGATGCAAAATGATTTCATAATTTTTTTCTTATCAATGGCAACAAAGCTGGATCTACTTCATCCTTAGCGAGTAAATCAATTATCAATTTTGCAGTAGAAGCATCCGCAGAGAAGCCCATCTCCACCATTTGTTGAATAAGTCCCATCGCCTTTGACGTCTCATTGTTATTGAAAAACCTTCGGATAATGGTGTTATAGGTGCAACCATCTGGAGAACAACCTTTCTCTTTCATTTCTTGAAGCAACATTTCCGCTTCGCTTGTTAACCCACTACTACAAAAATCCACTGATCATTATATTATAAGTCCTGACATTGGGCAGAAGTCCTTTTGATGATAAACCACTAAAGATATCCCTTGCATATTCAACTTTCCCACCAATGCACAAGCCTTCAATGAGAATATTGTAACTCACCATGGTTGGATCCAACTTATTATCTACCATCTCTTGAAACAGTTTCAATGCCATCGGGAGTTCATGGTTTTTACAAAGGCCATCCATTAAAGTATTATAAATATGAACATTTGGAAGTTGCCCACAAGCTTGCATTTGAGGAAATAAGTTATGTGCATCTTGTATTCTCCCCATCTTGCAAAAGCCATCCATAAGAGTGTTATAAGTAACTATATCTGGAACAATTTCCATATCACACATCTCCTTAAAACGCATTTGGGCCTCATCTACCCTTTTTTGCTTGCAATAGCCATTTATCAGTATGCTATAACTATAAACATCAATCATGCAGCCTTTGCTAACAATTAGACCAAGGACTTTTTCTGCCTCATCCATTTCTCCTCGCAAGCAATAACCATCCATAAGCGAATTGTACATAACTATATCGGGTTCAATATCTCTTTGAATCATCATTTCAATATAGCATTTCGCTTCCCCAACCATCCCCTCCTTGCAAAGTGTACAAGACATTAAAAGTGAATACATCTAGATAGATACATTTGCTCACCATTTCATTAAACAATCTCTCAGCTTCTTTCCTCTCCCCTAATTTGCATACTCCATGAATCAAGGTGTTATAAGTAAGGACATTTGGACTAATACCCTCGCTCACCAATTTTGAAAAGAGTTTCAATGCATCAACAACTAGAGTATCCTTGCAAAGACTGTCAATGATCGTGTTGTAGACAACTATGTTAGGCTTGCAGCCTGCTTCTTCCATCTTCTTAAGCAATTGGATAACTCCAGTGTTGTTACCTTTCTTGCACATGCCCTTTACTAGTACGCCGAAAGTAACAATATCGGGCTTACAATTGCTCTCCAACATTTTATTCAGAATCCCGACAGCATCAGCCTCTTTATTATGTAGAAAGAATCTGTTGATCAGAGTGCTGAAAGTTGTGACATCAGGTTCAAAACCGAATTTAAAGTATTTTCCCAAGACGGATAAACAAAATCCCATTTGGTTGAGACGACAAAAGCAATTGATGACAATGTTTAGAGTGTAAACATCAGGACGAATTCCAAACACATCCATTAGGTTATTTAACGAGATGACCGCCGAATGATGTTTAAACTTGGCAACTTGAGTCAATATTTGGTTGAAACGGACAACGAAAGGCAGAGGACGCATTTGAAGCATTTCGTCAAACACATGGAATGCATCCTCAGAATTATTGACTTTCACATGCTGATGCAATTGGGTGTTTGTAGGTATGGAGAGTTGGGAAGGTCGAGAGTGAAAAGGAGCAAAGTAATTGTTGCCGGAAACAAAAAGAGCAGGTGGCATACCTCTGACATTGAGTCCGCTGGAAAAGCCTGTAGATGCAGAAGCAGAAAAAAAAGCAGTTGCCGCCCGCAGCATCCTCATCAGCTCTGTGTGTGTGAGTGAGTCTTGAGGCTCAATGTCTCAACCTCTGACGGATTTCGTTATTGTGACCGTTTAATCATATGCTTATTCGGACAGAAATATATCTCTCCGAATAGTCCACCAAATTCGAGAATCCGAACGGTTAAAATTTGATACAATGATTAAAATTATTATAATTTTAAAGTATGCTCTTATTTGTGACCGTTAAATTAAATTTCAATTGCCCAAATTCTCATAATTTAATGAATTAGAAAGATGATCCTTTCCATTCGTAAGTAAAACTACATCGCACGCACGGTGTGTGATAGTATTATTAAGGGCTGGAAAAAATTTCTAAAGAAAATTGTCTCTATTAGTTAAGGGTCCTGCTGAACATTTCGGGTCGGAATGTGTCAATATTGCAACATGCTAGAATGTTAAATCTACTCAAATATGGAATGTGCCAACACAAAAACATGAACTTCATACTTTGGCCTACCAAAAACTCTGGATGCTTACCTCAGATTGTTTGTAAGAATTTCTTCTTTTTTTTTAACTTTCAAGCCATGGTTTATTGATAGCCTATCTTATTTCGTATTTTCAATACGCAATTTTTAATGTTTTTGTAACTCTTAAGCATCAGATGCATACCAAAAAGGATAAGATGGCTATGTTTCACAATCTAAAGACAAATCAAATCTTAGAAAGTTTGAACGAAATCTGCAAATTAACTTGTACTGTTTATCACATGTGAAGATTGGTATACAATTGTTCACTAATGCCGCGAGTTGGGATAGTAAGTCAAGCTATTCCTCACCATGGAATCATATGAATTACTTGGCCAAGCCAATCTCTTGTATCCATTAACACGTATATAAGTGGAGACTAAGATTTTATATTGTTGAAATGCTGAATTACGTTATTTAATTATATGCAATAACATTAGTGAAGACTAGGATTCTATAAATGACGATATGAATACATTTAGTGAACTAATCAAGTTCGAAAAAATTAGGAGTTGTTAACTGCACTTTGAAATAGTCATCTTGTGCACTTCATTAGTGAATTGTTAAAGTCATTATCTACTGATAGAAGTATATATTCCACAATCTATTACATTAAGATAAGGAGTACTTTGAGAATGATTAGATTCCAATTTTTAGAAGTCATGATCATGGCTTATAGTATTGTGAGTAGACATTAGAGACCATGTGTGAAAATTATAAACCGGATTCTCCATTAACATAATCTTCCATGAAAATACTAACAATTTTAAACAATATGCTCATATAAAATTCGAAGAGCGGTGCCTCTTCGATTTTTAAGAAAGTAATCATGTTGGGAGTCTGGCTCTCAAAATTCGGAGGGCGGTGCCTCTTCAATTTTTGAAAAAGTAATAATGATATTCCTTTACCTTTCTTGGTCATAGCAATGTAGTGGGAGCTGCAAACTTCACATGTTTTAACTTTGTCAGAGCGCTTTGAAAAAGTGGTTTATGGTATCTGGAAAGCTGATGTTGCGTATGAAGATTGCAGACAAACTTTATCCAAGGAAATCTGGCTCTCGAAGTTCGGAGAGCGGTGCCTCTTCGATTTTCGAACAAGCAATCCTGTCAGGGATCTGGTTCTCGAGATTTAGAGAACGGTGCCTCTTCGATTTTCGAGAAAGCAATCCTATTGGGAGTCTGACTCCTGAGATTCGGAGAGCAGTGTCTCTTCGATTTTTGAGAAAGTAATCTTGTTGGGAGTCTGGCTCTCGAGATTAGAGTGGTTCCTCTTCAATTTTTGAGCAAACGATCTTGTTGGGAGCGTTTTCTCGAATGTGAGTAAAGGTTGGGCATTTTTACCAGTCTGCCTTGCCACGGAGCACGGAGGTTGACACACATTCGAACTTTTTAGTTATCAAGCAGTGGTGTTGTTCCTTTACTCTTGTGGGTAATAGTAGGGTAGATGGACCTTCAAAATTTATGTGTCTAAACTTTGTCAGAGATCTTTGGCAAAGTTATCTGTGGTACCCGAGGAGCTGATGTTGCATGTGGAAAGTGGTGTCTCTTCGAAATTCGGAGAGTGGTGCCTCTTCGGAATCCGGAAAGTGGTGCCACTTTGATTTTTGAATCAACGGCCCTGTTGCCCTTTCTTTTATAAGGGCACCAATTGTGTGTAAGGAGTACATTCAGAGAGTTATTGCTTGTAGGAATTTTCCCCTTATTTCAGAGATTTATTGCACCTCATTTCTCCTTCATCATTTTTGAGAATGTCTGGCCCATCCGACCGTCGTTTTGACTTGAACTTTGGTGAAGAGGCAGCCATGCCTTCTCAAAACAACATATGGCGCCCATCCTTCTTATCCCCTACTGGTCATCTTACCGTTGGGGACTCTGTGATGAAGAATGATATGACCGCTGCGATGGTGGCCAGGAACCTTCTTACTCCCAAAGATAACATACTACTTTCCAAACGGTCTGATGAGTTGGCTGTTAAGGATTCTCTGGCTCTCAGTGTTCAGTGTGCAGGTTCTGTGTCTAATATGGCCTAACACCTATTTGCTCAAACAGGAGATCAGACGGCTCAAGCATGAGAATAAATAGTTGCACATGTTCGCACATGATTATGCTACAAACATGAAGAGGAAGCTCGACCAGCTGCAGGAATCTGATGGTCAGATTTTACTTAATCATCAGAGGTTTGTGGGTTTGTTCCAAAGGCATTTATTGCCTTCGTCTTCTAGGGTTGTACTGTGTAATGAAGCTCCAAATGATCAACCTTCGGTGCCTCCTCATTCTGGGGTTCTGCCTAGTACTGAGGCTCCGAATAATCACCCTCTGGTGCCTCTTCGATCTGGGGCTCTGCCGATTGCTAAGACTTCTCCTGAGTAACTTTTGTGAAGGCTCCCTCTTGTTTGTTTATTGTGATTCATGTATATGTACATATTTGTAACTAATCGGAGATATCAATAAACAAGCTTTGCTTCATTTCAACGTATTGTGTTAAATACACCAAGGCCTTCTTCACTAAGTTCTTTGAATTTTTCCTTTCGTTGAAGTTTTGTGAATGAAGCATGTAGGTTGAGGTAGTGTTCCCTTAATTTCCCGAGTGGGGAAAACTTCTCGTTTGGAGACTTGAAAAATCCAAGTCACTGAGTGGTCGTGAGACTTCTGAGTATCAAGGTGCAGTAGCATATGGTAGGAGTCCTCCAAGTCTCCGGTTAAGGGAGTTGACGAATGAGGCATTTCCTTTCTAAGTGGTAGCCCAAAACTCTTTCTTCTTATATATTTGTTATGAAAGTTGTTAGGCCCAAAGAAGAGGAGGCCTAGGCAATTTTTTTTTTCAATTTTTTTTTTTTGAATTTTCGGATTTTTTAGTTTCCGAATTTTTGAATTTTTGAATTTTCAAATTTCCGAAATTTATATATATATATATATATATATATATATTTTAAAGCTTTGTAGGTGAAGCTTTGGTGTTGAAGCTTTGTAGGTGAAGCTTTGTAGGTGAATCTTTGAGGTTGAAGCTTTGTTGGGCACCATGAATTGATTTTGCTTCACACTATCTTGATCAAGATAGTGTGAAGCTTTTGTAGGTAAAGCTTTTGTGTTGAAGTTTTGTAGGTGAAACTTTTGTGGGTCAAGCTTTGTGGGTCAAGCTTTTGTAGGTCAAGCTTTTGTGGGTCAAGCTTTTGTGGGTCAAGCTTTTGTAGGTCAAGCTTTTATGGGTCAAGCTTTTATGGGTCAAGCTTTTATGGGTCAAGCTTTGTTGGGCACCATGAATTGATTTTGCTTCACACTATCTTGATCAAGATAGTGTGAAGCTTTTGTAGGTCAAACTTTTATGGGTCAAGCTTTTGTAGGTCAAGCTTTTGTAGGTGAAGCTTTTGTGGGTCAAGCTTTTGTAGGTCAAGAAGTTGTTGGGTACCATGAATTGATTTTGCTGCACACTATCTTGATCAAGATAGTATGAAGCTTTTGAGAATTTGTAGTTGTCCTCTATTGATGAAGCTTTGGTTGGTGAAGCTTTGGAGTTGAAGTTTTGTAGGTGAAGCTTTGGAGTTGAAGCTTTTGTTGGTGAAGCTTTTGTTGGTGAAGCTTTTGTTGGGTACCATGAATTGATTTTGCGTCACACTATCTTGATCAATATAATGTAAAGCTTTTGAGAATTTGTTGTTGTCCTCAATTGATGAAGCTTTTGTTGGTGAAGCTTTGGAGTTGAAGCTTTGGAGTTGAAGCTTTGTAAGTGAAGCTTTGGAGTTGAAGCTTTTGTTGGTGAAGCTTTTGTTGGGTACCATGAATTGATTTTGCGTCACACTATCTTGATTAAGATAGTGTGAAGCTTTTGAGAATTTGTTGTTGTCCTCCATTGATGAAGCTTTTGTTGGTGAAGCTTTGGAGTTAAAGTTTTGTAGGTGAAGCTTTGGAGTTGAAGCTTTGTAGGTGGAGTTTTGGAGTTGAAGCTTTTGTTGGGTACCATGAATTGATTTTGCTTCACACTATCTTGATCAAGATAGTGTGAAGCTTTGAGAATTTGTAGTTGTCCTCCATTGATGAAGCTTTGTTGAATTTCCTTTTTTTTTTTTTTTTTGGAAACTAAAAATTTGAAAATGTGGGAGAGACAAAATATACAAATTTTGTTTCCACACTGTTGAGCAAGAGATTGTGATGCAAGCCATACCTTGTAGTAGTCGAAGGTTTGGATGAACCATATAAATTGAATTTGCTACGAACAGTCTTGAATTTGCTTCGAAGGTTTGAGAATTGTAGTTGCCCTCAATTGATGAAGCTTTTGTTGGCACCATAAATTGGTTTTGCTTCACACTGTCTTGATCAAGAGTTTGTGAAGCTTTTGAGAATTGTGGTTGAACTCCTTTGATGAAGCTTTTGTTGGCACCATAAATTGGTTTTGCTTCACACTGTCTTGATCAAGAGTGTGTGAAGCTTTTGAGAATTGTGGTTGCCCTCCATTGATGAAGCTCTTGTTGGCACCATAAATTGGTTTTGCTTCACACTATCTTGATCAAGAGTGTGTGAA